TGACCGGTATATATTTCAGGGTATTTATTTCCGGTATATTATTTAGTGACCGGTATATTTATTCCCGGTATATTATTTAGTGACCGGTATATTTATTCCCGGTATATAATTTACTGACCAGTATATTTATTTCCAGGTATTTATTCCCGGTATAGTTACTGACCGGTATTTATTTCCCGGTATATTATTTACTGACTGGTATTTATACCCGGGTGTTTATGGTATATTATTTACTGACCGATATTTATTCCCGGGTGTTTACTGACCGGTATATCATTTACTGACCGGTATCTATGGTATATTATTTACTGACCGGTATTTATTCCCGGGTATTTACAGACCGGTATTTATTTCCCGGGTATATTTATTTCCGGGTATTTACTGACCGGTATTTATTTCCTGGGTATTTACTGACCGGTATTTACTGACCGGTATTTATTTCCCGGGTATATTTATTTCCAGGTATTTATTTCCATGGTATATTTATTTCACGGGTATTTACTGACCGGTATTTCCGGGTGTTTATTTCCCGGGTATATTTATTTCCTGGGTATTTACTGACCGGTATTTATTTCCGGGTATATGTATTTCCGGGTATTTACTGACCGGTATTTATTCCCGGGTATTTACTGGTATAGTTACTGACCGGTATTACCGGGTGTTTATTTCCCGGGTATATTTATTTCCTGGGTGTTTATTTCTGGGTATTTACTGGTATAGTTACTGACCGGTATTTATTCCTGGGTGTTTATTTCCCGGGTATTTACTGGTATAGTTACTGACTGGTATTCCCGGGTATATTTATTCCCGGGTATTTACTGACCGGTATTTCTTTCTGGGTATTTCTTTCCGGGTATTTACTGGTATAGTTTCTGACCGGTATTTATTTCCCGGGTGTTTATGGTATATTATTTACTGACCGGTATTTATTTCCCGGGTGTTTATGGTATATTATTTACTGACCGGTATTTATTTCCCGGGTGTTTATGGTATATTATTTACTGACCGGTATTTATTTCCCGGGTATATTTATTTCCGGGTATTTACTGACCGGTATTTATTTCCCGGGTATATTTATTTCCGGGTATTTACTGACCGGTATTTATTTCCCGGGTATATTTATTTCCGGGTATTTACTGACCGGTATTTCTGGGTGTTTATTTCCGGGTATATGTATTTCCGGGTATTTACTGACCAGTATTTATTCCCGGGTATTTACTGGTATAGTTACTGACCGGTATTACCGGGTGTTTATTTCCCGGGTATATTTATTTCCCGGGTGTTTATTTCTGGGTATTTACTGGTATAGTTACTGACCGGTATTTATTCCTGGGTGTTTATTTCCCGGGTATTTACTGGTATAGTTACTGACTGGTATTCCCGGGTATATTTATTCCCGGGTATTTACTGACCGGTATTTCTTTCTGGGTATTTCTTTCCGGGTATTTACTGGTATAGTTACTGACCAGTATTTATTTCCCGGGTGTTTATGGTATATTATTTACTGACTGGTATTTATTTCCCGGGTATATTTATTTCCGGGTATTTATTTCCTGGGTATTTACTGACCGGTATTTATTTCCCGGGTATATTTATTTCCCGGTATTTACGGACCGGTATTTATTTCCCGGGTATATTTATTTCCGGGTATTTACTGACCGGTATTTCCGGGTATTTATTTCCATGGTATATTTATTTCCCGTGTATTTACTGGTATAGTTACTGACCGGTATTACCGGGTGTTTATTTCCCGGGTATATTTATTTCCCGGGTGTTTATTTCCGGGTATTTACTGGTATAGTTACTGACCGGTATTACCGGGTGTTTATTTCCGGGTATTTACTGGTATAGTTACTGACCGGTATTTATTCCTGGGTGTTTATTTCTGGGTATTTACTGGTATAGTTACTGACCGGTATTTATTCCTGGGTGTTTATTTCCCGGGTATTTACTGGTATAGTTACTGACTGGTATTCCCGGGTATATTTATTCCCGGGTATTTACTGACCGGTATTTCTTTCTGGGTATTTCTTTCCGGGTATTTACTGGTATAGTTACTGACCAGTATTTATTTCCCGGGTGTTTATGGTATATTATTTACTGACCGGTATTTATTTCCGGGTATTTATTTCCTGGGTATTTACTGACCGGTATTTATTTCCCGGGTATATTTATTTCCGGGTATTTACTGACCGGTATTTATTTCCCGGGTATATTTATTTCCGGGTATTTACTGACCGGTATTTATTTCCATGGTATATTTATTTCCCGTGTATTTACTGAGTAGTTACTGACCCGATATTACCGGGTATTTATTTCAGGTATTTATTTCCGGTGTTTATTCGGGTATTTACTGTTATAGTTACTGACGGTATTGCAGATATTTATTTCCGGGTATTTACTGGTATAGTTACTGACCGGTATTTATTCTGGGTGTTTATTTCGGGTATTACTGGTATGATTGCGGCGGTATTTATTCCTGGGTGTTTATTTCCGAATTATTTACTGAGTATAGTTGCTGACTGGTATTCCTATTTTGTTCCAGGTATTTACTGACCGGTATTTCTTTCTGGTATTTCTTTCCGGTATTTACAGGTATAGTTACTGGCAGCCAGTATTTATTTCCCGGGTATTTTATGTTTATATTATTTACTGACGGTATTTATTTCGGGTATATTTCGGGTATTTACTGACGGTATTTATTTCAGGTATATTTATTTCGGGTATTGCAGCAGTATTTTATTTTCCGGGTATATTTATTTTCGGGTATTTACTGACCGGTATTTCCCGGTATTTATTTCCATGGTATATTTATTTCCCGTGTATTTACTGACCGGTATTTATTCCCGGGTGTTTATTTATTCCCGGGTGTTTACTGGTATAGTTTCTGACCGGTATTTCTTTCCAGGTATTTACTGACCGGTATTTCCGGGTGTTTATTTCCCGGGTATATTTATTCCCGGGTATTTACTGACGGGTATTTATTCCCGGGTGTTTATTTATTCCCGGGTATTTAC